GACTCAAACCTGTGTCTTTTCCACCAAATAAAAGTTGATTGTAATTAATTTAAAGTTAATTTTTAACATATTTATAAAATAATTTAAAAAAATTATATTTGATGTACCTTCTATGCAGAAGAAAATCCGCTAACATTATAAATTAAGGATTAAAAACAAAATAATTACATTTTTAACATCAAGAGGACTCAAACCTGTGTCTTTTCCACCAAATAAAAGATGACAGACCAGTAGAACCACTACCTGCGTTGTCCCAAATTTTAACATAATATTATGTTTATTCATATTCAATTAATTTAACGATTTAAATGATTTAACTAGTTAAATCGATCGAAGTGAGAACCAAAGGTCAAAACAGTTTGACCTCCAATTCGATTTTCAAAACACTGAAGGAAAGGCATGGCGAAAGAAGGAAGGCCTATCTAGTATATCTATATATAGCTTTTTTGCAATTTGTTATGGGCCAAAATTAAGCCCAGACCATTCATACAATGAGATGCAAAAATTTATCTTAAAACACCTTATTAAATTTTAACTAATCATCCATCCCTATTATTAATAGCGCTTCCAAGGTAGCCTTAATGAGCCTAGCTTAGCCCAAAACGACCACTATTGAAGACATTTTATGAAGACGTTTTATGTTTACTTCCACTTTTGTGCTTCTACTTCTACTCTATTTAAAACTGTAGGAAACCTACCCATAATCAATATCATTGCTCTGCATGTGCTTATATAATTTCTAGGGGTAGTTAAATGGGTGGTAATTTAGAGTTTGAATGCAAGGAAGCTCGAAAGCTCGGACCGACTCTATGATAAAGAATCCATCATACAATTTTCAAATCCTCTGCATTTTCCAATCTAGAAGGTAATTAAATTGAATTCAAAGTTGGGTTTTTGAATTTGATATATGGGTTTCGAATTTTGATTGCTGATCTTTGTTCTTCATGGTGACACATTCCTTTTCCTTTGTCTACTTTCTTCACCACGACAAACCATCCGATCACCATCAATCCTAAACTTTAGATCATGGAGAAAGAGAGCCAAAGCTCAAGAAGCACGAGAAAGAGAACCAAGGGAATCATAGAGGAGATTGAAAGACAAAAAACAACGCCATTGGGTGTGAGGTTAGAGTAGAGATAAGAAGGATGAGAAATTTTCTCCCCGCCATTTCTAAAGGATGAGATTGGTTCTTACCCCTTGAACTGCAGGATTACAAGTTTACAACATATGCCTAAACGGGTATGCACATATTAGTCGTTTCAATTCCTTTTTAGTTCCCCTTTCATTGAAAATACTAACTAAACGTCCATTCATGGCTTTTGTCTAACCAAAATTGAAATCTTTAGCTGCCTAAGATGCTTATGAAAAGAGTCCAATGAAAATGCCCTAAAAATGCCTGTAGCAAGTATAGTAAATTAAGGGACTTTAACATGTTTCTTTCAATTTTAGATATATTTGATGCATGGCGGATGATGATTTTTTAGTTGGTTTGTCTTGGGTGTTATGGTTACTTGGATTTTGGAAGCTTGAGTAAAAAAATGCTTATAATTTGAAGTGTTTGAAATTTAAAGCAAAAGAAAGAACCAAAATTATATATCT